CTTGACACTTCCCTCTCCCCTGTGCCTCACACCCAGTCACCAATCTCCTAAAATATCTAGAATGTGTGCCCCTCCCACCTCCCTTTCTACCACCACCAAACTCTTCCATGACCACTTTAGGCCACCTCCCTGCCTTTTCTTCAGGCCACTCCTGCACCCCCTCCCATCCCTGGTGATGTTGCCATTACCCACCTCTTCCACTATGGAGAGATCCAAGGGTGGAGCCTGGGTTTTGCATTTTTGTTTGGGTTTTTTTTTTTTTTTTAGTTGGAGTCTCATGCTGTCACCCAGGCTGGAGTGCAGTGACATAGTCACAGCCACCACAGCCTCGACCTGCTCAGCTCAGGTGATCCTTCTGCCTCAGCCTTCCAAGTAGCTCAGCGAACTATAGGCATGCACCACTACGTAGATTCGACTAAGTTTTTTATTCATTGTAGAGATGAGATCTTGCCAAGTTGCACAGGCTGGCCTCGAACTCCTGGGCTCAGGCAATCTTCTCACCTCTGCCTCCCAAAGTGCTGGGATTACAGGCATGAGCCACTGAGCCAGGCTGAGACTGGGTTTGAGTTTTGCATCCCTGGCATCTGACTTATAAGTAGATACTCAACAAATGTTTGTTGAATGAGGAAATTTTGGTAGCAGTATGAATGGTTGACTTGAGGTTAGTTTATGGTTGACTGGTTGATTAGATAATTAAATGAGCTAATAGCTGGTTAGCAGGAGAGCCAGTTGGTTGGTTAAGTTGCTAGACGAGTTAGTCAAAGGGTTAGTGAGTGGATAGTTGTTTAGTTCCTTGATTAGTAGATGACTTAGGTAATCTGACTGTTAGTTTCTGTTTTTTTTTTTTTGAGTTGAAGTTTCACTCTGTCACCCAGACTGGGAGTGCAGTGGCTGCTCCCAGCCACCGCAGCCTCGACCGGCTGGGCTCCAGCGATCCTTCCGCCTCAGCCTTCCAAGTAGCTGGAATTACAGGCGCGCGCTGCCATGCCCGGCTAGTTTTTTGATTTATTGTAGAGATGAAGTCCCGCCAAGTTGCTCAGGCGGGTCTCGAACCCGCGGGCTCAGGCAATCCTCTCACCTCAGCCTCCCAAAGTGCTGGGATTACAGGCTGAGCCACCGAGCCCTGACTGTTAGTTTCTTGGACTGTAGGCTCATTTTCTTGGATGCCCTCTTCTAACTCTACAACCCCCCGCCTTGAGCCATCTTATCTATGCCCATGGCTCAAAGGACCATCTATAAACTGATGGCCTTCAAATGTGTATCTCTAAGTGAGATCACACAGCCAGCTGCCTCCTTTCTGGTCATCTTTTTTGTTTGTTTTGAGTTGGAGTTCTCACCCTGTCACCCAGGCTGGAGTGCAGTGGCACGCTCACGGCCACTGCATTCTTGACTTGCTGGGCTTAGGTGATCCTTCCACCTCAGCCTTCCGAGTAGCTGGTAGCACAGCCATGTGGCACCTTGTCCGGCTAATTTTTTGGTTTATTGTAGAGATGAGGTCTTGCCAAGTTGTCCAGGCTGGTCTCAAACCCATGGGCTCAGGCAATCCTCTCAACTTGGCCTCCCAAATTGCTGGGATTATAGGCATGAGCCACCACGCCCAGCCCTTCTGGCCCCTCAGAGTCAACAGGTTAGGGTTAGGGTTAGGGCCCTCCTTACCCTCCTCCTGCCTAAACCTGTGACTTCCCTGCTGTGCCCCACGTGGGCATGGGCCATGCCACTGCTCCAGGCAGAACCTCAGACCACCCCCGAGCCCCTCTCCGTTCCCCTCTGAATCAAACACCAACTCTGCCAGTTTGACTGTGTTCTCCTGACTCCATGTACTGCCAACCCTTTGACTCAGGCCGCTTTCCCGCTCAGCCTGTCTGTGGAGAAGCCTCCCGATACTTGCCATGCCTACGCTTCTGCCATCCTGCAGAAATCCTCCACCTGGCACACGGCCCACTGGTCCAGTTCAGACTCCCTAATGTGGGCCAGAGGCCTTCTGCTGTCTGGCCTTGGCCACTTTCTGCCATCTCGTGTCATTTCTACTCCTCCTCTGGCCAGCCTAACCTATCTTTGCAGAATTGCTCTGAACGTCACATACTTTTAGCTGCAGAACTTTGCCCATGACCTTCCTATGCCCAGAGCAGTTCCCTGCCTCCTGGGATGCTCCTTTACTGGCCAGTCTTCGATTCTTTTTTTTTTTTTTTGAGTTGAAGTCTCACTCTATCGCCCAGGCTGGAGTGCAGTGGCACACTCATGGCCACCCCGGCGTCGACCCACTGGACTCCAGCGATCCTTCCGCCTCAGCTTTCCAAGTAGCCAGAACTACAGGCATGCACTACTTTGCCTGGTTAATTTTTTTTTTTTGATTGTAGAGACGAGGTCTTGCCAAATTGCCCAGGCTGGTCTTGAACCCGTGGATTCAGGCAATCCACTCACCTCGGCCTCCCAAAGCGCTGGGATTACAGGCTGAGCCACCGAGCCCGGCCAATTCTTTTTTTTTGAGTTGGAGTCTCACTCTATTACCCAGGCTGGACTGCAGTAGCATGCTCATGGCCACTGCAGCCTCCACCTGCTGGGCTCAGGTAATCCTTCCACCTCAGTCTTCCAAGTAGCCAGAACTACAGGTATGCTCCACCATGCCTGGCTATCATTTTTTGATTTATTGTAGAGATGAGATCTCACCAAGTAACCCAGGCTGATCCCGAACCTGTGATGAGCTCACAGCAATCCTCTCACCTCGGCCTCCCAAAGTGCTGGGATTATAGGCGTGAGCAACTGCGCCTGGCCCCAGTCTTCGATTCTTTTTTTTTTTTTTTTTTTTGAGTTGGAGTCTCACTCTGTCACACAGACTGGAGTGCAGTGGCCACTCCCGGCCATCACAGCCTCG